CCTATCCGCTCCCCGGAGCCCCCCGATCCCTGTCCCCTCCCCGGCGCCCCCAGCCCTGTCCCCTCCCCGGAGTCCCCCATCCCTGTCCGCTCCTCGTCGCCCCGGGCCCTGTCCCCTCCCCGGAGCCCCCCATCCCTGTCCGCTCCTCGTCGCCCCCGGCCCTGTCCCCTCTCCTGAGCTCCCGGCCCTGTCCTCTCCCCGGAGCCGCCAGTCCTGTCCCCTCCCCGGAGCCCCCGGCCCTATCGCCGCCCCGGAGCCCAAGGTTCTTCCGCGCTGGCTCGGGGGGGGCGCACGCCGGGAAGCCGGAAGCCAGCCGGGTGGCCGCGGAACGCGACCTGGCCTCTGTCGCCGGCAACTCCGGGGTGACGGTCCCTAAGCCCATCGGCCCGGGTGGCTGCAGGGGCTTCTTCCCGCGTTGCTCCTTCTCCGCGATCGCCCAGGCCGCGCCGTCGGGGCTGGAAAGTGTCCGGCGCTCCACGTGCGCTCCCCTCCCCGGTGACCCCGTCCCTCCCGGGCCAGGCTGCAGAACCTAAGAGTGGTACCTTCCAAGGCCACCTCCCGGACTGCACCTTCTCTTTGGATCGGGCACCGGTATTTCGGCTCTTTTGTACCTCGGAGGCAGTTTGGGGGGCAGCCGAGTGACATCGCAGCTCCAAGCAGGCGACCTCTGAGCGGACAGGCCGATCTGGTTTCTTTTCTCAGTTGGAGGCCTGGTGGGGAGACAGGAAAGGCAGCACCCGATTGCCTACGACCTGACAGAATGGGGCACCCCCCCATTCAGCAGTTCCTGGAGCTTTAGGTGTGCCAGGCCCCCCGTGACCTTGGAAGCGCCACTCCCTGCGCCCCTCAACCGCGGGGCCCTCGGGGGCGCAGGAGGCCGGGCGCGTGTCCCCAGGGCGCCCCTGGCGCGGGCCTGGATCAGGTGAAGGAGGCTGAATTTTCCCGGCCAGCCAGGGCTGGCCAGGCACATGCACCAGGGCAGAGGTACAAATTGGAACTTGGACGCTGGAGAGAATCTGAAAGAGGGTTTTAGCGCAGTCCCTTCTTTTTGTCCACGAGATTGAATTTTGAAACAGTCCATCTTGTCTTGCACAAGGTCACACACTTCTTAGTGACCAGGTGTGTGACCAGTGTAGTCCGGAAATCTGGGCCCTGTGACTTCCCTGCCAGGAACACTTTGCAACCCCCCACCCCCAACCTGTACAGGTGAATCAGCACCCGCCTGTGTGTCTCCACCTCCCAGGGTTTATTCCTTTATAATCCCCTTTGGCCCTATACCCAGTTGATTGTTTTGGTAACTACTTGGTAGTGAGTAATAACATACTATTCATGTAGATCCTGTGAAAGTTATTCAGAAGTCTGGGGTGAATTTCTAAACTGCCGTAAACTTACCTGAGATCAACAGTAGAATTCTAGCTTGTATTGTGGTATTTTAAAAACTGTGTTAAATGTAGCCCCAAACAAGACAGACTTATTTCCCCTTTCCAAAGAATGTCTGCTCCTTTGGCAACATCACTCTTTCGTTTTTATCTTTCCATCTACTGTCTTTACCTGGCTCTGTCCCTCAGGTGGTTTAGAAATCACCAGCCTTTCCTTTGGAGTAAGTTTCTGCCAAATTGAGAATTATTCATTCTCCATAGAAGTGAGTGTTTCCCACTGGGCTGCAGAAAGTTTGCAACTGGGTCACAGTGTTGGGTGAACATTTTGATGAATGTTTAGTATTAGTTTTAGCTTTTGGTATTTTCTCACTAATGGTATTTTGAAGACAGAACAGGAATGGGAAAAGTGAACGTGTTTGCTTTTCCTGGGTGGGGTTTCCCCCCACCGATGAAGCTCCTCTATAATCGTAGCATCATATGTGCCTAATTCAATGTCAAAAATTGGCTTATATCTTGAATAGACAATTACTTCCCAGAGGGAATCTAGGAAATATTTTTGTGTGTGTTTTGCTCTTTTTTTTTCTTTGCTTTTCGTGGGGAAGTATTTTTTTAATTCAAGATGTAAAGTCCCTTTCTTTAAATGAGAAGTCGCAGTTCGTGTTTAAAGAGGAGGGGAGAGGTGGGGATAGATGTTTTATTATTGGTATTCAGATTGCGCTGTAGTCCTGTGGAAAGTCTGTACTCATGCAAAACAGGAGCTCATTTAGGAGATCAGTGCAAGGGGCACTTAAGGATAAACTAAGTGAAAAGGGTGCCTCTTGGTTTGTAGAATTAGCAGATCAATGAACTCTTGTTATATAAATAAAACTATTCAAGATCAAAGATAGTCTTTTATTGGTTCTGTACTGATCCATTTATTTGATACACTCAATGTTCTTTATGGTCTCAAAACACTGGTTTTATGGCAGAAGGTCAGACGATTTTTAGAGTGAAGCCAGTATACTTCATTACTAAGAAAATATTTTCTGGAAAAGTACCAGACAACTCAAATGAATTGGAATTGGTTCTCTTTCAGGTGGATAGTAGACATGTTGTGCTTTTTTTTTTTTTTTTAAACTTTTCTAGCCCTGTTGATGGCAAATCACTGAGATAATTGTCACCCAGTTAATCAATACATTCAATTCTTGTCTAGAGTGGTAACGATGGGTATCATGAAGACGCTGTAACTGTAGTCATGACTGCAGTCCAGGTCCACCAGTGCATTTATGTCAGAATATAGTCACCCCCCAAAGCTCAAGCTTCCATTTCTGGAAGGAACTGGGTAGAGTCTTCGTGGTCTGTTTGGAAGAGGGCTTAGTCTGGGGGTTGTGCAACGTTCTTTTCCTTTTCTGCGCTGCCAAGGGCCGTGTGGGACACTTGCTTACAGAGTGCCTGGTTTAGAAGACAGTTCTATTCACTGGAATAAAGGAACTCACGGTGCATCTTTAAAGAATCAAGCCGAGATTCGAGTTTTCAACATGTATGTGAAAAAATAAAAACAAAAACCCTTTTAATAAGGCTTTAAACACATGGATCAGAAACTTCTTTAAAACACGTGTCAATCACTTCTGTGCAGAATTCCCAGACTAGGAAACAGTTTGATTCACTGCAGTAAAGCAGCTCACAGTGGTTCTTGAAGAATCATGCTAAAATCCATCTTTTCGACATAATAAGACTTTCTGTGAATTATTTCCAGCAAACACTTTAACATCTCTTTACTTCCCCTTGTAGGAAGAAAAGATCTCTTTTCTCACCCACTGCAAAGCTTATGGCTGAGGCACCTGTGATAAAAGACAGATTGACAAGAGAAAAGCAAACTTAGTTAATATGAGTTTTATGTGACACAGGAGCCTTCAGAAATGAAGACCCAAAGAAACAGGAAAACTTGCGTATTTTTATGGACAGTTGTTGTACAGAAATATGATTGGAGGACAAGAGGGTATGATCTAATGGTAATAAACTGGGGGAACTTAGTAAGGCCTATTTGTTCAGATTCTTCTTGGCATGTCTGTGCCCTCGAGGATAAGGGCATGCCGTTCCTTCAGGTATAGGGTGAGCTGTCAGAGGAAGGTCAGAGAACGCTTTTATGGCTTGCTTCAGGGGAGACAGGTCAGGGCAAGGTGAGAATGACGTTCCTGCTTTTGCTGTTTTCTTAAGTGCCAAGGTGCTGTCTTTTGGGGTAGGTGTCCTGAACCCCATCGCCTTTGATTTAAAAAGATATAGTAACAACTACATAGAAGAAATCATAAAAACAGAAGCAAGTGCTGTACTTTTTTAGCTTTTCAGAGGGAAGGGTTGTATAGAAGTCACAGGAGGTATTACCGAGTGCAGTATTTCCCACTTTTATATTGTGATTTTATTTTATGAGGATTGAGGAAATAATGTCCAGGTGATACTTGGGGAGCAAGAAATAATTTTTATTAACCTTATCTTCAGCAGCCATTCAAAACTTTGGGCGAGGGCCGGCCCGGTGGTGCACTGCGCTAGTGCGCCGCTTGGGAAGCGCGGCGGCGCTCCC